CACTATCGTGTACGCCGTACTGAAGTGAGGGGCTTGGAATCTCCTGAGGACGATGACAGAGGATGGGGGACCTATCACGGAGGGCTTCGACACCAGATCCACCGCCAAATTCACGAGCGCCGCTCAGAACAAGCCCCTCGACACGATGGCACCCATAGACGCGGGCGCTGGCGGCCACTACGAGGACAGGGGCGAGGTGGGCCCCGCGCTGGGCCCTTCTGGAGCCATCACGGCGCTCCTGTCCGCCCACGACCACGACGAGGCGCACAGAGACTGGACACCTCTTGGCCATCGGCCCATGCCTTGCTCCGCCGCAGAATGGCTACGACGGCAGGAGGACGTGCCGACCAGCAGCGACGAGTGCTCAGATGGTGTCGAGGACGGCAATGCCTACCCGAACGAAGACATCTGAAAGGCAGAGTACAATGAGCTGGCCAACGACGACTCTGGGGCGTCCCTGGAAACAGACCTCGAGTAAAAGGCGAAGCCGGCCAACCTGAAGCACGACGATTACGTAAACCTGAAAGGGCCGCTGCATGTTGCCACCCCTGGAACTGGTTGGACTCCAAACGGTGCGTCCAGTTTTCTGCCTCCTCGTGCAGGCACTGCTTGGAGGCGTGCCCTCGGGGTCTGGCGGAAGGGGGCCCTCGGTTCCCTCCCCTTGGGTGCTGGGTACCAGGGCCCCGCGGCCAGGTCCAAGCGAGCTACCGGCACGGCCAGAACCAGCAAGCCTAGGTCGAGGACTTCGAGGAGGCTTCGCCGTACGACCTGGGAACCACCCGTTGCCGAGTACCCAGTCTGGCTTGTCGAGCCCCTCCCCCCCGTCAGGAAGCTTGGCATGTGCTTCCCCCTCAGGGAGTCTTCAACGGCAACGTCGCCATTCATGGATCCGCTCTCCATCCTGGCGACACGGTTCTAGAGCGTGCTGGATGGGCGGTGGTTCAAGTGGACCGCCACGGGTGGGTTGACGGCTCCTTGTATGTTTCCCTGCCCCACCCCGTCCAGCAGGCTGGCTGTTCTGACGTGCTTGCTGTGCTCATGATTTTGAGTAATCCGGGGCTGGAGCCTGTGACGGTGTAGCGTGTGATTGTAGGTTGGCGGCCCGGTTCGCATTGGGACCAGGGTCCTCACCGGCCCCAAGAGGGGCTGGCCTACTCCGAGCTTTGGAGGCAGATTTCCCCAAGTCCCAGGACCTCTCGGCCCAAGTTTCGGCTGAGGCAACCACCAATCTTGGGCCAACGCCAGCCCCCCAAATTGCGGCGCCTGGTGGGCCTGGAGAGGCAACCGTAAGGCCGACCGCTTAGCCAAAGTAGGAGCCCGAATGCACCCTACGCCCCAAGCCTCGACGAACGAGCTCAAGGCGCAATACGTTTCCTTCCGTAGTCGGGCCCTTCTTCTTGTCCGGGATCGGCGGTGCCCCGTCCAGGACAAAATCCGGGGATGCGGACAGGTTCGGAGCCCAGCGGCTCAACCCCCCCCCCGCGGAGCTCGAGCTTGTGCCAGAGCCCCAGGGTGATAGGGTCACAGTATTGTTAAGCTGGGCTAGGGATCCGCCTGCGTCAAGTATGGATTTCGAGATTGGTCACGAAAAAAACGATATGTGCGTTTCCGTGTGCTGGCTTGCCCAGACCCACCCGCATCGCACATCATTCGCACCCTCTTTGGTGCGGAGGAGGGGGTTTGGTCTGGTGTTCTATGTGTGGGGCGCTCGGCACTCAGAGGGTGGAGGTCCTAGCCGAGGCCTGCCTAGGAGGCTCATCGGGATAAGGCAGACAACAAACTTCTCAACCTACTGAAATCTGGGGTTAACACGTCTTCCAAAGGCTCGTTCGGGGAGTCCTTCCAGCTTGTGCGTGAAAGACCCTCTTGAGTGCCGATCGATGTTCTCCCTGTCGTTGTACCACGTGTTACGTCAGCGAGACGTGGTGTGCCGATAACCCAAGGACCCAAGAAGGAGGGGGAATAGGAGGAGGAGGAGGAGGAGGAGGAGGAGGAGGAGAAGGAGGGAGGAGGAGAAGAAGGAGGAGGATGATGAGGAGGATTAGGGAGAAGGAGGAGGAGTAGGAGGAGGAGGAGGAGGAGGCGAAGGGCGCTCTGGGCTGGGTCGCCCTCTCGAGGGCCGAAACAGCGGAGGCGATGAAGAGAACTGCTGGCACTGGATTCTGGTGCTGCTCACCCTGCCCCTCCCTCTCCTCTCCGCCGCCACTTCCTTCTCCGCCTTCTCCGCATCCTCTTTCTCACGCTCGTTGTCCTCATCTCGTCGTCGTCCTCCTTCCCCCCCTCCACTCATCATTGTCCTTCGGTCCCTCACCATACTACTCCACCGCCTCCTCCTCTTCCTCCAGGTCCTCCTCCTTCTTCTGCTCCTACTCCTCCATTCTCCAAGCCCGTTCATCCACATCCATCTTCCTTCTCCTCCTCCTCCTCCTCCTTCTGCTCCCGCTCTCCATCACCCTGGCCTCATGAAGCCCTCGCTGCTCCTCCTTCAGCCCCCTCCTTC